CTCCATTCTTCATTTTGCCAAGGTCTTTTGAGTTTATGTGACCTAGCCGCCTGTGCCATGTAGTTACTGATGTTTTTACTGTCGCTGCCAAAACTTGCTGTGACCTTGCTATGTTCAATCTATAGACATTGTTCTCTAACTTTGCTTCACCAATGCATTCATTCTGGGAGTTGTAGATAAAACAGCCTTTCTTGTTGAAAACCACTCTGTTTCCACTCGCAATGATTCTACTCACAGACAGCAAATTAGCGGTGAGGTTAGGAACACATAAGACATTCTTTACATTTACTTCATACTGCTTGTTTCCTACTGCAGTCGTAATCTGTAAGTCTCCTGAACATATTACTTGCACACTGGTCTGATTTGCCACAAGTATTTCTTTGGTTTTCGGCTCGTACGAAACATTCGACAACATCTTCTCGTTTGATACTAGGTGAGTACTCGCGCCGGAATCCACATACCAGTCGTTCTGACTGAATTGACTTGTCAAGAAAACGGCACTAAATGCATTCAAATTTGCTTTCCCTGCTGTACACTGGCTCTTGAAATGTCCAATCTGTTTACATTTGTAACAACGAATCTTTGAAGATTTGTTTACATTATTGACATTGACAGAATTGACATTTTGCGTTTCAGTGTACAGCGAAAAATTGCAAATGCCCAGTCGTCATAATTCTCACGCCCTTTCAGTTTAGGAACGTTTACTGAGTAATTTCCTGACATTTTACTACTGAACACTGCGAAAATACTTGATAAAAACTGATAAAAACGGGTCTGGGCCCATAACCTATTGAAACTACACAATGGCGGATAACAGACTGCTTTTATTTTATTTCCTTTCCATATTCAAACAGGTTACAGAAGCTATGACACTAGGTGGCGCTAGTTTAATTCGTTACACTTATAACAATCTGTACCAGCAAGATATCTTGACGTGGTAGGTTTGTTTTGAGCTTGTTTGTAATAACACCGATTATGAAATTTTCCATCTTGAGATTAGATTCACTGGACAGCTAACTTTTATTAGGGCCATATGGGGACTACGACCCCGACTCTACGTCAGGATTTAACTTGATAACACCATATTTTCAACGTTTTAGGTTAGGACATAAGCCGATTTCAGATCCACAAGTTAGCTCTAGCTCTTGCAAAGCAATAAGTACGACTACAGAATTCCAAATAATATTTCGCGGTTGGAATTTTAGTCATTAAAATATGTGGTTTATATTTCTTGGCATTGCAATTTCATTTAATAGCTCTTATCAGTATTTCCACACGATTGTTAGTTAAATACCGAACTATTGCTTTGTTAAATTTATTTTCAGGTATGAAATTAACTTTGAATATTTCAAAAACCTCTAATTGTCCGAACGTCCGCTCACGGTCCCACTTACATGTAATTTTCTAATGGAACGTAATGGTATATCGCATGATTTTAAATAACTTTGCCTTTGATATATCATTAAAATAAGTAGGTATAATTCATTTGACCGAATCTGCAGTCTTCAAGGTTGGAAATAAAGTGGCTCCACAGTTAAATAGGTCAAGAGAATGAATTAGCAAAATCTAGCAATCGTAAAAAGTGTGTAATTGTGGATTCCACATTTCTAAAGTAATAAATTCACAATTTATTGGCGAATGCAGTTTCTAAAACAGTATTAGGTATGTGACAAGAAAAATGACACGTTTTATTTTTTGTAAAAGAAAATGATTTTAAATATCTCTCTTCACTTCTTTTTAATTCAATCACAGAATTTTAAGAACCAATAGTCCGGTCAGCAGAAATCGATCACAGTAGATTTAGATTTCAGTTCACGTGATTCCCCTTAGCCAATATGTAACTTCAAGGAAACCTATACGTCTATGGTTTATCTATCGGGGTACTGCCTTATTAAAATAAATATTAGACCGATATTATAACTGAAGCAGCTGTTCGTGATAAAGTCACCAACGGCTCGTTGCATTGTTATGGCCCATTATGTAACAAACACGTGTCAAGTACAATGTCATGTATTAGGTAGGTATGTATTTATAACGAACTTCGTACCGCCTTAGCGTAGAGATTTTCTTAATATTTTTTTCCGTAAGAACCATCCTTGGACTTCCACAAACATTTTAAAAAAAGAATTATCGAAATCGGTTCAGCCGTTCACACGTGATGCCGTGACAACGCGAAACGGGTTTCATTTTTATATATATAGATTGGACTCCGCTAGACAACGCACGGGTCGTTTAACGATTTATTTTGCACATAAACCTTTGACGAGAAATGCTGGTGAAAAGTTAACAGCGTGTTAACACGTTGAGTGCGAAACCAGGTCTATAGACCTTGTGCACGTCTCGCTTACCGTGCGGCTAAGAAAATTATAGTCTTCCTTGTCGTGCGAAAGGCATAACTTCAATTGGGTCCGGTGTAGGAAAGTGATGAATATATTTCTATGATGTATTCTTAAAATAGAATCCAATGATGTACCTACCTTAATACCAGGTTTTTAGACCTGGTACCGCACGGAAGTAATAAAATGTCTTCACAATGCGAAACCAGGTCGAAGCACCTTGTACCCTGCGCACCTGGTACCGCACCCCACGCTAGCTTCGTGCAGCCAGTGTTGCCTCGCATTCGTAAGAAACGCACATGTCGACATGGCGTCAAGAGAAACAAACAAAATCAAAACTGCAAATTGATTATAATTTAATTTGCTACACGATTTATTGCTAATTTAAATAATGTTTCTCGTGACAAACATTTGAAGTTGTAACTTAATGTTATTAAATAATATGTTTTCTTTAAATAAAGCTTATTTAAGTATTTATGCACGTATATCTTATTTGTAAAATATTTAGACTAAATTATTAAAACATCTTTGTTTGTTACTTTTTTAAATTTTTATTAAAACTTAATTTAAACTATCGATATTTGTATTTCACATCCCTAGAATACCCACCAGACTTCCCTACTTCAGTGCGGCACAGGGTGCATAAGCCTTGTATTTTGAATATAGCTATAATTTTTATACTAAGCAAGTTATTCACGAACGGCTTCAGGTGTATGTCAATAAATGCATTATTATTAATATTCAAAGAAAAAAAACACAATATCTATTAACATGAAGCCAAAAATAAAATTAATATATCTTAAATATTACAAGGTCTTTAAGCCTTGTGCCGCCACAATGTAAGTTTTAATACCAGGTTTACTGACCTTGTACCGAAGGAATGGAAAGTATTAGAAAGTTACTGCCGCAGCAAAGGTGTTAATGTGACATATGCATCAGCATAATTCATATGAACTTCATATGTTTCAATCATCAGTAACTTAATAAAACAACACATAGAAACAAAACAACTACAGGATAAGCGATTCGATTACGCGATAAACTCCGAAAACCAGACATTGATTTTCACAATTTGATTTGGCTATGACTATAACTATCGGTCGTTAACTCTAATGATTTAGGTAAAAAATCACGAGGAACCCATAAACTATCGAAGTCACGGGACTGACGCGAAAATACACATGTTTGTATTCGTAGAAAAAACCGTAAAACTTGGTATCTCATCTCTATGACTCTACGTCATCCATTTGTTTGTAATCAAAGACTACAGCGCATGTCCTGTTGATGCTAGTGATTCTTACTCACTTTGTCATCATCACCTTTGATCATAGGCTCCCCCTAAGTCGCTCCGGAGTCCGATCTTCAGCTATTTCTAGCAGCTCTATCAGTAGTTTTGCGCACTATTCATTCATCGCCTTACTAATTTATAGTATTTACTAATAAGTATTCAATGTTAAATGTCAAGTTGTCTTTGTGGAAATCCTTGGGGGAGGCCTTTGTCCAGCAGTGGACGTCTTTCGGCTGAAACGAACGAACGAACGAACTAATTCAATGTTAAATTGGATTTGAGTCAGTAATTTTGATGTTATTTGTTTAAAATGACATTCAATTAAGATTACATAGTACTTGTAAAAGTTAAAAACTAACGTAGGTATATCATATCGTCGCAATTAACGATGAAAATATACGTTTACTAATTGTTCATTCACCTTGGCGCTCAAACATTGGGACCTGAAGTCTATCTAAAGATTGTCAATCATTAGAAAATCAAACTTAAATTCGCCACCTACCTATACTACGACATTATAATGTATTTATGACGCGTTTGCCCCTAACGCGGTCGTCACGCGATTATTGATATGACCTTAGGGGCACCATCGCTCGTTGATACCGTCATTACGCGTCAGTTACGCCAACCGGTTGAGGATCCAGCTTCCTCACCGAGGGTCAATGCCGGAGTGAGGTCAGCAAGACCAAGGTCAAATGGCAAAAAAACTGTAACAATGATTTAAGTCGCCGACAATCGACATATGCTACTTTTTTGCGATGGTTTTTGTTGGTTAAGATACCGACATACATGCGACTTTTTTGCGTTAGTTTTTGCTGCCTAAGACAATGGTTTTAATGGCCAAATATTATAGTTGATTGGTTATGAAGCATTAAATTGAGATATCAAGAAATAATTTAAGCAGTTTAATAAGCCAAATGTACCATTGGTTTTTTACCAATAAAATTAGTATAACCGTTAGAGGCCAGCTCAAACTTTTTGTGTCTGCCTATTGAATCTCTAACAAAAACAACTTTCTCATTATGTTTAACTGTTTTATTTTTAATTTCACTCTGGGAACTGAATTAGCACCTATCATTATTCAGTTCATTCTTGATTGCAATTGAATGAATATTTTTTTTTCATTAATGAGGATGACAATGATATCCGCGGGATGTCGTACTGCCATTCTATGACCGTCTCTACATAAATCATTTTAATCATAAGACGTTCAAAGATAAAGTTTTCTTTGTCAAATACTAGATGGCGCTGTTTCGAAAATAGATCGCGGTATCGCGTCTTAACTGTTTCTCATGTGGTCGGTGGGTCGATTCTTTTGTATTTTAGTACTCATAATAATTAATTCTTTAATATAATCTTTTCTTTTTCTTTCACAGGCATAGTGCTGTACTTCTCGCTGCCCCGTCATGAGTTCGGACGAGTGCAGACGGTTCTGTTCCCGACGTACTACGCCTTTAACGCGGGCATCTCCATGCTGGCTCTTCTCTCGTACTTCCGCATGCAGTGCCTGACGAAATTCGCGTATACTTCGTATGCACAGGTGAGTCTGACTTTATCCTCAGTATTCAGGAATTATAAGGCCTCTAGACACTATCAGTAATCACGATATCAATTACTGTCATTCCTTCGTTCGGCAAACGGGCCTTACACGTTGGGTTACCACAAAACAGGTCTCACACGTCGGGTTACCACAGTTGGGATGAGGCCTATGCCTATAATGGCATACTTATTATTATGCCTATATTAAATACCGTTTGGCGTGATTCAGTCAGTCAAATAAACTAGATTTATATAAACTATATTTAACACATTAAAAAAAGCCTATAACTAGTTTTAACACGTCCGTCCTATCAAACCGATGTCAATACAAAGGTAATTGTTTGAATTGGCCGCTGCGATACAAGCTTTCTAGCTTAGTGCAGAGACCGCCAGATTAAATTGTAGGTACATGTGACATCTTTGAAAATAAATACTTTATTACCTACTTAAAATAGTATGAGCGTCGAGCGCTACTTTAGCTGTAACTTTCAAAATGCTACGTATACAATAAACCGTAGTATTGCACATACTACAGTTCACTGTAGCATTCATTATGCTACAACGTGCTACGTCGCGACAGCTGATATTTTTTTTCCTTTCAATATTAACAAAACTTAATAAGGTATTTAACTGCTGCCTTACTTTCGGTACCCATGCATTCGTGCTGTGAAAGCCTAACCTACTTTATTTAGGTCTGATTGTGATAATACAATTTTTAATTAATTAGTTTTGTAGAGTTATTTGATACATACAAAGAAACTTGTCTCATGAAAGTGCATGATTTGGTAATTCGTTACTGATAATTGCGGTATTCTTAGTTAGCATTTATTTCTCTTCATTAATCACGAAAAATGAACTAGCGAATCAAAATGACTAGAACTGAAAAAACTAACAAAAATCATCAACAAATTGAGTTATTAGCAAACCGTCAATAACCAAGTACAATGCAAGATAAATCTCAGTTTATAATGTCATGGCCGTAGTTAAAAGGTAAAACGAACCCGAATAAAATCTACTGTAATGGCAACAAAATATGGCGCCAACGGTTTTAAAACTTACTTTTTATTCCGATGTCATTGACCTTAATCGACAGGTCTTATCGGTGAATGCATTTTAAATGTATTTACAGTTGGTGCACTGTTAAATGAATGGAATTATAATTTTATTTACTCATGCAAGTTTTAGTTTTTGAAGCTACGAATCTTTCTTCAGTCATTTTTTCGTCGAAGACTCCGTGTTTTTTTACATTCAGCATATGCTAGATATATTGAATCCCAACTAATATTATAAATGCGAAAGTAACTCTGTCTGTCTGTCTGTTACGCTTTTCCGCTTAAACCTCGCAACCGATTTTGATGAAATTTGGCATAGAGATAGTTTGAGTCCCGGGAAAGAACATAGGATAATTTTTATCCCGGTTTTTGAAACAGGGACGCGCGCGATAAAGTTTTTCTGTGACAGACAAAATACCACGCGGGCGAAGCCGCGGGCGGAAAGCTAGTTGAAATATCCCTGAAAGCAAATCAGTACGGCTAGCACGAAAAACTTTCGAGTTCAAATCGTTTGCGTGCTCGAATCGCCATCAAAAGATTTAGTAAGAAAACTACATCAGCGCGCCCTTGTGAATGTGTCGTAAAGTGAACTTAGTATGAGATGTGGTTGCACGAAACTTATTTTGAGAATCAAAATTGTCACGTCATCGTTTAATTCGAAGATTGATTATCAAATTTTATCGAGTACGGAAACGATTAGAAGACGAAAGTTGTTCATGCTAGAGGTAGGTACAGTAAAATAATTGTGCATGTCAATACTCAGACAGAGTTCTCCAAGGTTGCTGGACAAACAAAAGAAGCAAGGTTGCTTACCAAACCCATTAGAAACGCTTTAATCAAGACCTTATTTAAATGTAATAACTTGATTAATGATCCGTCCATCATTTTGTTATAATTGCCAAATGATGAAAACGTACATGCGTAATATTTTCTTAAATGAACCAGTTAAGAGGTCATAGTTAATGCAATAAAGATTATCCCGTTTCAACACGCGCTTAAGAGTATGTCGAAGATTAAAGAACCATATTATAAACTGTTCAATTTATTGTTTGTTGGTATTAAAGTTAATTAGTTTCTGACAGCAAGGAAACGGAACGACGGAAATAAAAGGGATAGATAATATCGTTAATGCAAAAGGCAAAAATATACCAACCATTCTTATGAACCTACATTTATTTTAAGATTAAGGAATTTATTACAAGTGCCACGAATTATTTTTGAATAAACTGAATTTAAACCTAATTAATCTCGATGAAAAGTACTTTATCAAAACCTCGATTTAACAGTCGTTAGCCAGCAATTACAGAAAGTCGGCAGCCAAATACATTGTGTACAATTTTAATGCCTACATATCAGATTGAAAGTAGCCAATTAAGTAAAGAATAAGATTTCGGTGTGGTCTCGACATTCACTACAGTTAATCATAGGTGCCATTTATCTACCTATCATAACTGAAACTGTTATATTGATTGGTCTCTACCCTAAATTGACTCTATCAAACTTTTTTCGTTGGTAAATTAGGTACCTACTTGTCCAGCAAACGGAAATATGGATTCGGAAATAATGTGTCTATGGATTACCCAAGACTGTTGACTAAGTAATATTCTATGCATCAATAAATGGCTTTGGAAACGTGTCCCATTTTTCACTTCAGTAAAAGGAGGAGCCTAGGTCATCTACATCCGTACTAAAAAAGGTGTCTTTGTCTCCAGTTCGCGCTGTTGCTAGCCGTATTCAGCATCGAGGCGTATGTGCGCCTGCGCCTCGTCAGCCCCATGCTGCGCGCCAAGCACATCAAGACGCAGATGGAAGAAGTCGCTGGTGGTGGACAAGAGGTAAGCTTCTGACTTCTACTTTATTCAAATCTACTTTTTAATACGAACATCAGATTAAAAGCCTCTTATACACCTTTCTCTACCACCTGAAAGCGCGGAAGCACAGGACCGGTGGCTGTGTCAAAACTCTGACTTTGTCCAGCTGTCGGACGTCCATTGGTTGAATGACACCTTGATTTTTCACTGACCTACTCTCTTGAAATCAAACAGCAGTGTAATTAACTCTCTTAGGCATCATGATTTGACATAACCGGTGAATTTTCAAAGGACTAACAGTTCCGTAGGAAAACATATTTATGTAAGCAGTATAAAGCCTTTGAACAGGTCTTTGTCCAGCAGTGGACGTCTTTGGGCTAAAAGATGATGATGTGCAGGAAAATAAAGCATTCAACCACTTATTGTTTTGAGATCTGGTACTTCAGATTATTCTGGTGATTCATTGAACTTTCACGTGACTGGATACAAGTATTTATGTAAACAAATAACATTTCGGTGTGAGCACTAAGACTTCTATTTTTTTAAACCTGTTAAAAATATCAAGTGCTGTTGCTGTGGACGAGTGCCAATAATACGTGCTATTTGGCAACAACCACATTCTACTTTCGCAAAATGTTTCACATGATCCTCATTACACTGGGTGAGGACGTTCATACATCGGAAGTAACGGAACGTGACAATATCGTTGTTATAGCTTTTATAAACAAAGGAACGTATAAAATCTTGCGGTTGACTGTAATACTCGTAATCAGTGTCCAACGGTCTCTTTAGCTCTTATCTACAAACGTCCTACCTAATACAAAATAAATTCTAAGCAGTTTGTCTCGATTAGCAACAAGTTTTCGTTTGATGAATCACTATATAAGCGCCAACCTGCATAAGTAGGTATTACTAACAGCAATTATAAAAGCTTGACACCATTAATGAACTCGAAGTCCCCGCGTATCACATTTCACCTTGCAAGTGCATTCTTTGAAACACAATTGCACAAAGTGCAACCTTCGTGGTATCGCATATGAGTCATCCGCACGAGTTACCAACCAATATTACTATCAGCTGGAAATTTAAAGAGACTTCCTGTAAGATAGCGTGGTTTATTCGTCTAAGAAGATAGCTTAAGCTGTGGCTTAAGTCACGGAATATTTTTACTACCTATCTGACGATAGATATAGTCTGATGAAATATTCTCGTTCCGTATTTTGGTAGTTTCTGCAGACTTAACGCTCTAGCAGTAAAGTGATTAGGCTTAGTAGATAAGTTGATTCAAATCCAATCAAATATCTGGCACTGTTTATCAATTTCATTAACTGAACAAAAACGATTTCATACCGTAATGTATCACTGCAAGCATCCATGACATCGGGTACATAATAAAAGCTTCAAGTTCTCATATTTTACCTCAAACGCGATTCGAATCTGCGACTAGCGCTGTCAATCCGTAAGCGAGTTACAAGGCTAGGCAGCCGTCGAATGTTCGATTACTTTTTCTCTGGCAGAGATACACGTTGAGTCACAATAAGGCACATTCGGAATGTAGAGATAATCTGGTCAGACTTTTCTCTCTTAAACATCATCATCATTATTCTAGCCACAAGACTTTCACTGCTGAACATCCTTCCCCAATGATTTCCACATCGCCCGGTTGGTAGCGGCCTGCATCCAGCGCCTTCCTGCTACCTCTATAAAGTTTTCTCTTATTACATTCCAGTGCTAATAATCTTTTATTAATTAAAGCGTTTCTTGTTCCAGGTCGGTCGCCTAATCTTAGGCGAGCTCGCACACTGTCCCCGCTACCTGCGCGTCCTCAGGACCTTCAGAATGTACCACTCCTCCATCGCCATGGGCACCATGATCGCTCTCGGATGCTCCGTCTACTCCACCATGATCATCGTGGACGCCATGTGCCATTAGGCACTGGCTCTACGCCGTATTCAAGTGCCATTGAATACCTTGATGATTCAAGATTCAAGAGTAAATCACATTGTGGGCAGCAGTCCTACAGAGATGTAAATGCAGCTTCTTGAATAATTTCATTGTTGCAAATTCCCGAAGATGAAAATAAGGGTTTTGGACGGCCTTCCCTTGGTATGCAGTTAAGCGTGCGTTTCATTGTTACGACTTTAAATTTTAAACTGCATAAAAATTAACATTAGACCACCAACGTCTGTCAGACTTGTTCACATGCAATAACTTGTAGAATAATTAGTGATTATTCTAATTAACAGTATTTGTATGTATCAATTTATATCTGTGTGAGAATTATATGATTTCGGAAGATTTTTCAGGCTGTGAGGTCTGTTTGCCTGGGAGCATTCCGCAAGTAAAAGTTATATTACCCCCGAGAATGTTTTCAGGCAATAATAAATTGTATTTATTTAGTATAATAATTAGTTTAAGTATAAAAGAAGTGATAATTTGTGAACATTGGTTATACGCATTGCGCTGGACGCACACTTTATTAGACAAGAAATTATAGAAAAATATATCAATTTTTTATTTAAGAATTAGTTGATAGGAAACTTGGTCGTAAAGACTAATGTCTAACGAATATATAGGATAGGCTACATTGATGTATAATAACACTGCACAACAAAATTGCAACTTTTGGCTGATGATTGACTTTCATTACATGATGTTTACTAATTTGACGTCGCTGATTCTGAATCTGCCGTCCATTTTTTCGTAGCAGCTCTTGTTTACGTGTTATAGCTTTCACTCAAAAATTGCTAAATTTCAGTCTTAAATCGCCGACAGTTCAAAAAATACTATGTTTTCTTTGTATAATTTAATATGGTAGCATTAAGAAGTGTTTGTGTGAATGATCTAAATCAATTTTGTTTCATTTGCGGAGAGGATATGTTTAAATAATCCGCTTAAATGTGACAAAGTTCGTAAAATTGGCTTAAAAAAATTAGTTTGGGGACCCAGTGGAAATGAAAGATAAGCCTTGAATTCCGCAAAAGGCGTGGAAAAGATGCGTTGAGTTTTTACGTTTATAAACAAATAAGAATATGTTTAGATTTAGGTACGAAACCGCTATGATCTGAAAGGAACCCTTGAACCATCGCGACGAATGTTATTTTTATTTTTGAACAAAAAAGGTATTAACCAAAAAATATTGAACTAAATGGTAATTCCTTGCATACGTTTGGCATGTAGACGTCTTTTCAACCCTAAGAAGTCACCTGAACCTCATGTTGATACTTCACATGAGGATTTTGAGGCGAAAACTGTCAGTGTGGTAGAGACTTTGAATGTGACCCGAAATTTTCAAAACCATGTAGCCAAGATGGTTTAAACGATCGTTTTAGAGATTTAGGATCTTCAAGTCTTCCGAAAAGACATGGAATGAGTTATTTTGGTATTTTAATTTTTTTTTTTTTTTTTTTTTTTTATCCACAACGAGGAAGCTCTTGGCCTGTATCTCACCTGATGGTAAGTGACGATCAGGCCGAAGGTGGAAGCGAGCTTCACCCGGAATCCTCAACCACGGAGGAACTGGCTATCTTACCTCTAACTGCCGGAACACAATAATGCTGTTAACATTGTTGTTATGGCGTCAGACTTAGGTAAGATGGTGGTAGCTAGCCAGGCGGACTTAGAACAAGCCCTACCACCAACCAAACCGAACAGAAAAATCTGCCCCCACTGGGAATCGAACCCGGGACCTCTGCGTCTGAAGCAGGTGGTCTTACCACTAGACCACAGAGGCGGTTAACTGCTGTTGAATCATGCAGAAGAGCTGTCTGCCTTCAGCGTCAGCAAGGAAGTCAAATAAAAGAAAGTTTTTTCAACTTAACAACTTCATAAAATAGGATCATCTCTAAAAAAAGAGTGTTTTTTTACAAATAGACCCAAGTGTCATATTTTTTTAACCAGAGCTGATACAGACATTTCAATCACAGATTTGAAATCGTCATTAAAAATTGGACTAATATCATGTAACATAACCCAATCATCAGAAATGCTGTTGTGCAGTGTAATCTGTAGCTTTATTGGCCTTCAAATTGTATTATTGTCAAGTCAATGGTGGTTACTGGCGTAGAATTCAACGCAAGAGACAAACGTGTGTCTTCTCTGATCATTCCTAGCCCTGATCAGCAACTAGGGCTTCGTTAAAATCAAGCTACCTTACCCCAGTTCCACCTCTGAATAATCTTGACGTTTTGGCCAATTAGATAGACTAAAATTGTAATAACCACACTAAGTGTTTATAATGCAATAGATTTAGACATTTTTAAACTATTCGAATACGCATTCCCGCTAAGGTCACTAAGCATAAAAATAAATCAATTGCATTATAAATACCTAAATTATTTACTTATGTAACTTTGGCATTTACGGATCTTGCCAGTCCAACTAGTTAGTAAGTAGTATTTAATTAATAAGAGTCGCTTGTAATACGCAATTAATTCTAACGAGCGACCGCAGCCAGCCCATCTTTAAGCTGCTTGATTGCGAAGAAACTCATGTTGTCTGCTCTCTAATTTCCTGCAATACTGCCATATGATAGATATAGTGTAGTATTAAGTAGTTGTAGTAGATTCTTGTGAGCGCTTTTTTCAGCAATTATCGTAAAACTCCTTAATCGCAGGAAGTTACGAGGCTAGCAACGTACGCACGCGTGCATTGCACGTGCGGCCAACGCGTCTCTACTCTGAATGTGAATGATATCTTCAGAGAAATTATAATTTTGCGTTGTTAATTTCTTTGTCGATTTTAGTTAATGCGTAGCAAATAATGTTAATGTCTCGGCCTGCCGCCAGGCGACGACTAATCGCACGCATTTTGTCGCGCATCGAAGTTATAACGGAATCGAGGCTTAAGCCTTGTCAAGCAGCTTACCCTTCATTGAAAACGGGCGCTATTGGCAAATATTATTGAATAATTAGTATTAAGAGATAATTTTAATGATTACAGCAAATATTTATGTGATTAATAAATTAGTTCTAGTTAAATATTAGTATTTTTTGTATTATCCACAATGATCTGAATGATATTTTGAGCAAGAATTTATTTATTCGTGAATGGAACGGAAGGTTACTGTTAGAAAAATACATAACTACCAACCACATTACTACTGCGTTATTCATTTTACCCTCTGAGTTTACTTATTAAGTATTAGCTTTTGCCCGCGGCTTCACCCGCGTGAAATTCAGTTCGTCACATATCGTCATAAATTAGTTATTCTGGGTTATAAATAATAATACTATAAAATTTCATCAAAATCCGTTCAGTAGTTTTTGCGTGAAAGAGTAACAAACATCCACACAAACTTTCGCATTTATCTACGGTTATACGAGTACTTATACAGTGTGAGTCACGTTAAAGTGTACATATGAAAATAGATAAAACTAGACCTGTTTTTATCGACAAAAAAGAGGTCAAAAAATTTTTGAGATTTTTTTTTAATTTTTTATAGAATTTTTTTTCTTCCAATTACTTGATGTAAAGAAAACGTAATAACTTTTAAATTAAGCGGTATATCCTAATAAAATAAAAACAGTAATAATGCTAAATAACAGGCGATACTAAAAAAATACATAAAATACACAAAAAAGGCCAAAAAATAATAAAAAATTATACTTTTTGAAAAAAATCTGCTTAAAAATTCGTGTTTTTTTGGTTATTTGATAAATTTCTCCAAAAAATGCCCCTATAACTGGTGGTTTTTATTACTTTGTATTATTCTCTATCGTATTACCTTCGTAAAACCAAAAATAAATAACCAAAAAAACACGAATTTTTAAGCAGATTTTTTTCAAAAATTATCATTTTTTATTATTTGTTGGCCTTTTTTGTGTATTTTATGTATTTTTTTAGTATTGCCTGTTATTTAGCATTATTACTGTTTTTATTTTATCAGGATATACCGCTTAGTTTAAAAGTTATTACGTTTTCTTTACAATAAGTAATTGGAAGAAAAAAAATTCTATAAAAAAATTAAAAAAAATCTCAAAAAAAATTTGACCTCTTTTTTGTCGATAAAAATAGGTCTAGTTTCATCTATTTTCATATGTACACTTTAACGTGACTCACACTGTATAATAGATGGCAAATAAATACCTAGTCTTATGTGCTGTCAACTGTACCTATAACACATATCTATGCACAGTTTCCTTTACACTACACATTTATTTCTCAGCAAGTTAGATTGATAGAAGTTGATAGGTAGGTGTGTGCTTTTTTTCTCAAAAGCCTGTGTACCTACTTGGGAAGGTAAAGTTTGAGAAACGTAAAGTCGAATTCGAAAGCATACACCTAAAAAATCGTATTTTAGCGCTCCCTAGTTGGTTTAGTTTGGCTAAGACTTTGGCGCCAACCTGTGAGCGCTGTAGTGGTGGTAGGTGACCACTACTAGAACCAGCAGATCCACCCACTGTGGCCACTGTAGGTAGAGCAGCTGTTGTTCCTGGACTAGCTAGTGGCGCCAACTAGTGAACGCATATAACACTAGTCCTCGTCTAATTTCATTTAGGATAATAAATTAAACGTTACATTAAAATAATAAAAACTATTGATTAGCTTCGAACGAAACGTTACAAATGTCATTATAGTTGTCACTGTCAATGTCAGTGTCAGTTATCTGTCATTGAAATCATGGCCTTATAGATGACCCACACTGAACTGTCCCACCAAACTCAATGACAGGGGGGCGCTACCATCGTTCAACTATATGGTTTCCAACATGGCTAAAATCTGAACTAGCGATCCGGTATTGACGGTGGCGCCCCACTGTCAATGTCATCGACAGGACAGTCCAGTATTTTGGAACTATACGTGGTTTTTTGGTATTAGTGTTTAGAAATATTATTGCAATAAAATAATGCAATCTAAATCGTTTACAGTGATTACTTCCGAGATTTTATCGCGAAACAGATGTATCATAAATTGCTGTGACCATGTTGATCATAGGTAGGAGGACTAGTGAATCTGAAACGATGAAGTGTGAAATAAAAACAAAATTGCACACCAAAATGATCTTGGACAAATGTAAAACCGTGTTAATTTTATCGAGTGTTGTGTGTACTTTGGCTGTAGTGATATCGTTGCACAAATTGTTGAGTTATGATGTCAAATTCACAAAACCTTTCGCGCCCATACCAGCTGGTCTGTATGGCAATCATTTGGAACCATTTGAAGATCAAAACCAGCTTCCTGCCAGCCCTAAGAGGCAAGACACGGCTCGCGATGCCGAGGCGGTTGTTTCGTTAAATGCTGCTCTTGAAATGAAGAAGAATGGCAAAGCAGATAAAGCTTTAAAACTATTCCAACATGCCTTTGCCCTATCTCCGAAACATGCTGACATATTGAACCACTATGGAGAGTTTTTGGAAGACACCAAGAAAGATGTTGTCAAAGCTGACCAACTTTATACCCTAGCACTATCAAATTTCCCAGATCACACAGGTGCATTGATGAATCGACAGCGTACAGCTAGTATAGTTGAGAATTTAGATAGAGAAATGTTGAAAAAGATTGATGAAAAACGAGATGCACTTTCGTCAATACCAGAGAACAATGCTGCTCTAAGAAGAGCAAAGAAAGAGGCTTATTTCCAACACATATACCATACAGTTGGTATAGAAGGCAATACTATGTCTTTATCACAGACTAGAAGTATTTTAGAGACAAGGATAGCAGTTGCAGGGAAGAGCATAGATGAGCATAATGAAATTTTAGGCTTAGACGCAGCAATGAAGTACATCAATCAAACATTGCTGTATCGTTTGAGAGACATCACTATGGGAGACATTTTAGAAATCCACAAAAGGGTGTTGGGTCATGTAGACCCAATCGAAGGTGGTCATTTTAGGAGAACTCAGGTGTACGTGGGTGGTCACATACCACCAGGTCCCTCGGAAATACAGAGGCTAATGACACAGTTTTTAGAATGGTTGAACTCTGAAGATGCAATGGAACTGCATCCCGTAAGGTAGGTGTTAATTGTCTATACATTTTTTGGATAGTGATTGACTAAAATACTTTGCTGTTGAAATCCACTGAGTGATAGATTAAGTAGTTCATCATATTTAAAAGGGTGTAAATGATGTTTCTACACCCCGTGTTAAAAATACTACTAATATAAAAAGTAGTAACATCTACTATGATATTCCTGGTCGATTTCTCAAATTATTTATCACTAAATTAAATATCACAGATTTTTTAATTAAATCTTTCAACTAGCCAACTTAAGCAGTTTATTCAAATGCAATTTAGTAATGTGCCCAAAATGAGGGTATTTTTCGAAAAACCTTTAAGAGCTAATTTTTAACTGTCAGTTAAGTATAAATGAAGAATAAAACTGTTGAAACAACGAGGACGAAAAAGTTCGATACTGTAGGTAGGTAGACGATATTTTCACGAAAGCGATTTTCGCGTTTTCATGATTTTGTAGAAAGAGTATTGAACAAATATACTGTAGGTTTATGATTGCGATAGGACTTACCTGGTCTTCCGGAGATGCCGCTCAGTCTCACGTACAGTTCTAGCAGTAATAACCACGCCAAACAACAAACTTCTCACACAGTCAATGTTCAATTAAAGTTTATTGCTTTTTACACGCTTTTTTGTTTAAAAACTTGCACGAAAACCGTGCTTTCCCGAACGACACAACCACACAATTATTGAGGGTAGACAGTGACTATGTCATAGAGAAAAGTAATACATAGGAAATAGAGAACCCTCTCTGTCAAATTTTTGAACCTACTAATTGACAGCCTGGTGTTAAATTCCCTGTACTTAACCTACGTACGTAACGCTCACATACATACATAGTACACGCACACATACATACATAAAGTCCACGCACACATACACACAGTTCACGCACACATAGGCCCTCATAACCTTCAAAGAATTATTGTTTTTTGTTAGAATTAGTTTAAATGAAAGAGTATTTAGTTAACTTATTTTATTACGTCTTGCACAGGTCAGGTTACCATAGAGAAGAAAGAATATCCATACAAATGTCATCGAGTCTTCTAGCTGTCATTTACAATTTGCACAGTATAAAGATCAATGAAGCCAACATAAAATATTATTATTTCTCAACTTTCTTCACGACCCCTCGATTTAGACCTTATAAAATACAAGTATTGTTAAGTTTAAATCGCTAAATAATACAAATCAACTTATCAAATAAAGTATTAGAATCCTCATTTAAAAACAAAACTTTTACACTTTAATACACAACATTAGTTATGTTATTAGTTATTTTAACATAAACATTTAAAAAAGAAATCAAGATAAAAATCCTTTTACAAATCTTAGAAGTTAGTAACATCAAAAATCAATTTTTATGACAATTTATTAAAAGTTAAATAATAATTAAGTTTTATTTCACACTTGTCAGCTTTGGCAACTTAATTAAATAACATTAACATTTTTCTTTTAAGTGTAAGTATAAAGTGATAATAATATTAATTTACATAATATCAGCAACATGTAGGATATTTTAGTTAAGCCTATTTTACACTATATCTTATACCCGCCTGCAATTTCAAGTTTCCGTTTAAGCAAGTTTTAAACTAAAGTACAAATTTTTATTCAATCTACAATTCGGACTTGAAATTGACACATTTTTATTACTGGTCATACTACAAACGTCAAATGTCATGTGTTGAAATGTCAGTGATTGTCAACTGTCAAACAAAAAATAACCTAAATTAAAAAAATAAAACCTCTTACTTGATCAAATTTTCCCTAAACTTCTGAAACTTTTCACGACACAAGGGTTTTGTCATGATGTCCGCGATATTTTCATCTGTCGACACATATTTCACTTGTAATAACTTCTTATTTACGATGTCTTTTATAAAATGCACTTTAATGTCAATGTGTTTCGATCGTTTAGTGTTTTCATAGTTCGATATCATTTTAATTGCACTACTATTGTCCACAAACAACACAACACTGCATTCATTGAATTCACTGGCGAGTCCTCGGATGTACAGGAGCTCAGCAGCGCATAGTGCTGCGGCGACATACTCCGCCTCGGCAGTTGACAAGGCGACAGCAGGTTGCTTCTTGGATGCCCACGAGATGAGGTTGTTCCCATGGAACACTGCCATGCCACTCGTGCTCTTTCGATCGGACTTGTCTCCTGCCCAATCTGCATCTGAAAAAGCTGAAATATTATTGACATCATTTCTGGTATAAGTCAGTTTAAGATCCTTGGTGCCTTTTAAGTATCTGAGCACTCTCTTTGCTGCTCTCCACAGTTCTTCAGTGTGTNTATCGCATATCGGGCCGTGTCATCATTGACAGGTAAGTAAGTCCTCCAATTAATTCTCTTTAAGGTACTGTATTAATAATCTGTTTTCTGTTTCAGGTTGGAAGTTACTTGTCATTGGTGTAGAAACTGCATTACAATCAGCCATATGAAAATTTTGTAACTATTTGTCAATAAACTTTTCTTGTTTTTGTTGTTAATGTGTTTTCATTTCTCTCTATGTCAATAGCTAGGAAACTTTTTACATAACCCATGTCTTTGGCTTTAAATAGGGATTTTAGTTTCTGTACAGTTGTTTCTATTGTCTTTGAGTCTCCAATTATTAAAATATCATCTACAAATATAACAAGCCATATGCCATTTCCTGTATATAAACACACATCATATTTAGATCGCTTCATTACTATGGACTCACAAAATTTGTTTATTGTTTCATTCCAACAACGTGGTGCTTCTTTAAGTCCGTATAAGGCTTTTTGTAATTTTAGTACTTTTCCATTTTTAATATTCATCCCTTCAGGAACTTTTATATATACTTCTGCTGTTGATTCCAACTCTCCATTTAAGAATGCAGATGGTATATCAAGCTGTCGTATTTCCCAATTGTTTGTCATAGCTTGTGACAGCATTAATCTTATAGTTGTTATCTTTGCAACTGGAGAATATAACTCCGAAGTGTTTGCATCAGCTTGAAACCCTTTTGCGACTAACCTCGCCTTTTTAGTTCCATCCTGTTTTGTGCGAAAAACCCATTTGGTTTCGATAGCCTTTTTTCCTTCAGGTAAGTCACTTTCTGTCCATACTTGTAGATCTTGTAGAGACTTAAATTCTTTATTAATTGCATTTTCCCAATCTTTGTCTTTAATGGCTTCTTTATATGTGTTTGGACTTTCTATACTACTTAAGCAATATGCCATATACAACTCATAGTCGTCAAGATGTTTTGGTGTAACTCTAGGTCTTATTGGCCTCTCTGATTCTTCATCACAATTGTTTTCTTCATTAATATTTTCTTCCTGTTCTTTCATATTCATTTCTTCAACATTTACTTCTTCATTAGTATTAATTTTCATATCATTTTCTTCTTCATTACTCTTATTTATAATCATGTTTTTCTTTTCAGTTTTTCCTTCCATAACATTTTCATCTTCATTACTGGTAATTATTATTTTATGTTCATTTATATTTTCACTGTCATTTTCATTCTTCCTGTAGTGTATGTCTGTTTCATCAAATGTAACATCAGTAGCAACAACTATTTTATTTTCTTCATAATCCCATAGTTTATACCCAGATCCACAATATCCAACCATAATCATCTGTTTAGCTCTTGGTTCCAATTTCTTTGGTTTTGGTAAAGTTACACACCAAGCTTTGCTCCCAAAAACTCTCAATTTTTCTAAATTATTTTTACCATACCATAACATAGATGGTGTCTTCCCATTTAGTGCAGTAGTTGGACTCCGGTTTAATTCATAAGCTGAACTGAATAAAGCTTCACCCCATAGTTCTTTTGGTAATTTTGTTTCAATTAATTTGGTCCTCACTTTGTTTAATAATGTTCTATTCATCCTCTCCGAGGTACCATTCTGTTGGGGGGTGTAGGGAGTTGTATACTCTATTTCTATTCCTTTATTCATACAATAATTCTTGAGCATATTCGAACTGAATTCTCCTCCATTGTCTAGTCTCAGCCTTTTTGTTTTCTTCCCAAACTGTGTTTTTATACAGGGTGTTAGGTAAATGGGTATATGAGCCGACACTAGCCCATGTTAACATGGTCATATAAATGGTATGGTGAAGTCAGAAAATTGATATCTTTATTTTAATTATTTTAATTTTCATACAAATCCGATTTTATAAAATTAATTTTGTATGAAAATTAAAAAAAATAAAATCATGATATCAAATTTCTGACTTCACCATACCATTTATATGCCTATGTTAACATGGGCTAGTGTCGGCTCATATACCCATTTACCTAACACTCTGTATATTTTATAAAATTTATTAAATTACTTTCTGCTTCACTTTTTCTTCTTAACAGTTTAACCACAGATGACTAAAATCATCTATTAATACTTGAAAGTAATTATGACCATGTAAAGTTGTAGGTTCTACTGGACCACAGACGTCTGAATGAATAAGATCTCCTATTTGCTTACTATGTCTCGACTTTGAATTATGAAAACTTCTTCGAGTACTTTTTCCTTCTATACAAGTTGTACACTTTTTATTAGGTACAGGTAAATTCAATGTTTTCAAATCATCATAATTAATGTGTCCCAACCTTTTATGCCAAATATCGTTTCCATTTTCTTTTGAAATGTGAGCACTATTTATTACAATTTCCAAATCTAGAGTGTATATGTTACTCATTTTTGTGCCACTCAAATATATATCACCTTTTCTTAATGTTACATTTTCTTGATCAAAGATTACTTGAAATCCTTTTCTTGTTATAAATAGTATTTATTTTCTCATCACAAACATTACAATGACACAAGTTTTTAAGCACATTAATTACAATTCAAAAACAAAGTTGTTTGTGTGAGACTGATGCCTGTGATAGGTATTTGCATACCTGTATGTTGTNGCAGTAGTTGGACTCCGGTTTAATTCATAAGCTGAACTGAATAAAGCTTCACCCCATAGTTCTTTTGGTAATTTTGTTTCAATTAATTTGGTCCTCACTTTGTTTA